GCACATCCACCGACATCCGTTATGGTTACATCAGCAATCAAGGAATTGAAAGAGCGAAAGGGTTCGTCTCTGCCTGCTATCAAAAAGTATCTGGCCGCCAATTATCAAGTCGACCCAGCCAAGTTGGCACCTTTCATAAGGAAGTTCTTGACCGCTGCCGTGACGAGCGGTGCAATCCTCCAAACTAAGGGTCATTATAAGCTGGCTGTAGTCGAAGCTAAACCGAAAAAAGCCGTCGTGGCGAAGAAGCCAATCGCAAAGAAAGTGAAACCAACTACCGCCGGTACGCCTAAAAAGAAGAAGCCAGCTTCGAAAAAAACTAAAACTGCCTCCGGTGAACCAGCCGCCAAAAAGGCGAAAAAAACTCCGACCAAGGCTCCTAAGGCCGTTAAACCTAAAAAGGTCCCGGCTAAATCAACTGCTGCTAAAACCAAAACACCGAAGAAAACCACCGCAGTTAAGAAGGCCACCATTCCAAAGAAGAAGTAGAGTTTAATAATAATAGGTGGGTATATGACTACTCCTTAAAAAGGCCCTTTTCAGGGCCACCAAATAAAAGCTTCTTACTCTTATTACAATTTATTTATGTTTAATTTATTTTACGTGTGCCAAAATAAGAAAATCTTGTTACGTTCACGAGAAATTCTCATTATTATTTATAACGTTTTGCTGTAAATTACATATGTTTCTTTTTCGAGTTACAATTTTACAATACTGGTATAGATAACATTAGCTTATTCATATTTATTATTAACGATACATTATGCGTTCTGTAGCTAATTATTGATTTACTGTTTCTGCTTTGAAGTCATTTTGAAATATGGAATTTGATACGTACCAAGGTGCGGAAGAAGAGATAATGCGGAGAGTGATGGTTTGAATGGCCTGGAGGGTACGTAATTGAGAAGGTTAGGTACTCTGATTATACATAATATATAAAATGACGTAACAGTACTAAGCAACAAATTGACGAATTAACAAATATCTAATATGTTACTTTACATACTTACTGGGCATAAAAAATTAATAATATTTAAATATTTAACAGTTTTATAAAATAAACAACTTCTGGTCTCCTTTTATTCATTCGATATTAGCAATATATTTATTGGAAAGCGTATCATCAATAGAGTAAATGTGACTATATAAACTATATAACCTATAAAAATATTATGTACTGTCAAGTACCTATAAACTAAAAAAAACTTAATATAAAACAGCAACTTCCGCCGATCAATGGCCCTAACAGAATCATGGCTATCTCTGACAAAGAAAAAGCAAACATTTTTGGTGAATATTTCTCAAACATTTTCAAACAAGATATTGATATATTTCCCAGCGCTGAACACCTTAAAAAAAAATACTCATTTATAAACTCTTCCAATGTTACTCCTAGCAAAACATACCTCACCAAGCGAAGTTAAATTTCCAATAATTAAACTAAAAGAAAAAAAGCACCCAGTTAAGATCTTATTACCAACAAAATTCTAAATAATCTACCAAAAACGACAATCGTTCTTATAACTTATATCTTTAATTTCATGTTACGGATTTCTTACATTCCTTCAATATGGAAATTATCGACAATAATTGTTATTCCTAAGCCCAACAAACCCAAGAATAAAATCACGTCTTACAGATCCATAAGTTTATTACCGACTCTTGCCAAATTATTCGAAAAAATCATAATATTAAAAATAAGAAAAATACTCCAAACCTTCAACATAATTCCGCATTTCCAAATTGGGTTCAGAACGTGTCACTCGACTGTAAATCAAATTCACAGATTAACTGACCAAATTTTCTCTTCATTTGAAAAAAAACAATACTGCCCGGGAGTTTTTTTAGATGTGGCCCAAACGTACGAACTAGTATGGCACAAGGATCTACTCATTAAACTAAAAATGTTCTTACCTGCTCCATATTATTTGATAATATGTTCATATTTGGAAAACCGTACTTACTTAATATATGGGAACTTTGTATCGCCATTCTACCAATTAAAGCAGGAGTCCCCCAAGGTAGCGNTCTTTGTCAGAGATAGCCATGATTCTGTTAGGGCCATTGATCGGCGGAAGTTGCTGTTTTATATTAAGTTTTTTTTAGTTTATAGGTACTTGACAGTACATAATATTTTTATAGGTTATATAGTTTATATAGTCACATTTACTCTATTGATGATACGCTTTCCAATAAATATATTGCTAATATCGAATGAATAAAAGGAGACCAGAAGTTGTTTATTTTATAAAACTGTTAAATATTTAAATATTATTAATTTTTTATGCCCAGTAAGTATGTAAAGTAACATATTAGATATTTGTTAATTCGTCAATTTGTTGCTTAGTACTGTTACGTCATTTTATATATTATGTATAATCAGAGTACCTAACCTTCTCAATTACGTACCCTCCAGGCCATTCAAACCATCACTCTCCGCATTATCTCTTCTTCCGCACCTTGGTACGTATCAAATTCCATATTTCAAAATGACTTCAAAGCAGAAACAGTAAATCAATAATTAGCTACAGAACGCATAATGTATCGTTAATAATAAATATGAATAAGCTAATGTTATCTATACCAGTATTGTAAAATTGTAACTCGAAAAAGAAACATATGTAATTTACAGCAAAACGTTATAAATAATAATGAGAATTTCTCGTGAACGTAACAAGATTTTCTTATTTTGGCACACGTAAAATAAATTAAACATAAATAAATTGTAATAAGAGTAAGAAGCTTTTATTTGGTGGCCCTGAAAAGGGCCTTTTTAAGGAGTAGTCATATACCCACCTATTATTATTAAACTCTACTTCTTCTTTGGAATGGTGGCCTTCTTAACTGCGGTGGTTTTCTTCGGTGTTTTGGTTTTAGCAGCAGTTGATTTAGCCGGGACCTTTTTAGGTTTAACGGCCTTAGGAGCCTTGGTCGGAGTTTTTTTCGCCTTTTTGGCGGCTGGTTCACCGGAGGCAGTTTTAGTTTTTTTCGAAGCTGGCTTCTTCTTTTTAGGCGTACCGGCGGTAGTTGGTTTCACTTTCTTTGCGATTGGCTTCTTCGCCACGACGGCTTTTTTCGGTTTAGCTTCGACTACAGCCAGCTTATAATGACCCTTAGTTTGGAGGATTGCACCGCTCGTCACGGCAGCGGTCAAGAACTTCCTTATGAAAGGTGCCAACTTGGCTGGGTCGACTTGATAATTGGCGGCCAGATACTTTTTGATAGCAGGCAGAGACGAACCCTTTCGCTCTTTCAATTCCTTGATTGCTGATGTAACCATAACGGATGTCGGTGGATGTGCGGCTGCGGGCTTCTTCGAAGCGGCACTTTTGGCAGCAGTGGTCGCTTTCTTTTTGGACGGTGATTTTTTCGTAGTCGGCGACGAAACAACCGGAGCTGCTGGATTGGATACTACTGTATCGGTCATATTGCAGATGTCGAGAGATGAAATCGTTGAAATTTGAAAACGGATGCAAAATTGTTCCCAAGATAGGTAATACATTGGATTATTGCGTGGCGCTGGTATATATACTATACGCCGTACCGACTAGTAAACATGCGCAACGCAAAGCCGTCGATCCGCTGTGGTTATGCCGACGTTTTTTACGATAACTTTTCAAAAAATCAATTTAAAGATTCGGTTTTTGGTTCGACGGAAAGCCAACAAAATATTGAACAACACTCATTTTTT